TGTTGGACCTGATCCCGGACTATCATTATATATACTACTCCCTTGCAACATCTCTTTATACGATCACAGTTTGTAATGTTTTAGATAACAATGTAACTGTTGTTTTGATACTTGCACACTGCTTTCGATCTGGGATTCAGTGAATTTTATTTTTTCCAGAAAAGTCAAAAGTTCTTGGAAACTGTTAATCAATACCCCCTTTGGCGGCATGCGCTGCGCTGTTAGCAAAAATTTAGCACTCGTCTGAAGAAGTGTCCAACTTCGAAGATTGGAGTCTTTGGTAAATAAACACCAGATGCTGTTTTAGGTCCATGAAATGATATTTTCACATGCCACACTGTACCTCATATTCTAAGATCAGATATAGGGAGAGAAAGAGTAACGAATTATTTGACTGATTTATTGATATTGAACGCCGCACTCAGCAATATTCCAGCTATATATGACGGTCTGCAAATAATCGAGTCTGGACCAGACAATTCAGTGATAAAAGCATCGTTCTACGCGGTTGGGATACGATGACATGTGTCAACCAACCAAGCCAGCGAGCCAGACCACCCAATCCCGTTAGGCACCTCTTACGAGAAGCATGGGTTACTGAAGACTAATTCTAACCCGGATCAGCACGGGTATGAAAGAGTAATGAGAAAGTCAGAGCTTCTTTTTTGAAAGTAAAGGCATCACTTAATACTGCCACATTTATGTGACACAGAATGAAACCAAAGCCTCCCAAAAGGTGTCCTATGTACTCACGGCCACCATGGACAGATATTTCAGTCACAACTAGACCTCACCATTTGGATAGTTTAAAAGATTTCGTCATGGACTATACTCATTGACCCCACAGATCCTGAATAACAAAATACATTAAAATATATGGAAATGAAATCATTTATATTCAAAAAACGGAGATCAAGTCAGAATACAGTTTATATCAAAACGTACAAATTTGGTACTGAAGTTAAATTACAGTTTGGTGGAGACCTAAGCAATATTACCGCTGTATGGCCGCGGTCTTCAAATAATAGAGCACGGTGTTAAAGATAAAAGTTGATTACAGTCTGTTTGGGTCAGCATGATGCCGATGAAGCTCAATCTAACACCAAATCGGTTCATGATCAAACATTCATTTCAACGCAGAATGAAAGGAAAACATCAGACCAACTCTGGAAAAAAAAGTTTCATAACGTTTGTCTCCAAACTAAAAAAGTTGCTCAACAGACTATCATCATTTTGTTTTGAATTTCTGTGTGAAATTTTACGAGGGTAAAGTAACAGTTAACTGTTGGAGGAACAGCCTCAAGAGCGTGAAGCACGTGTAATTGTGACGTCACATCAAGCATAGCAAATCGATTTATTGACGCGTTACATGAGAAAATGAAATTTACCTCTGACAACAAGTCCATTATTTCCAAAGTTTATGATGTTTTTAGGCGAAAGTGAAAACGGTCACCTTTAATATGCCTTGGGTAAATTTGTTAAACGCACTGCATGTGCAGTTGGGTTGTCTAAAAGACAATTGAAACAGTTATTGAGACAACGTGTAACTAAGTAAGGCACCACTGATGGGGTCGTATCAGAATCTCAACTTTTGAAAGTTCACAAACTTGACTGTTTTAAGAAAGAGTTAGTAAGAAATGCTACTAGAAGACTGTAGCAAGACTAAATTCCTTTCTTTGTACCTGTATTAATAGCACATGGATACAGAACATCCGTTGACCATATCCAAATATCAGAACGTTCATAATTTATAGCTACGTGGGTGATGATGAGTTTAAGGGGGTCACACATTTTGTTCTGGGGAGCTGGGGATCAGCAATTGTTTGCCTAGAAATTATGGGAAGTGGAAGGGGCATTGATTTTATACATAATTTATTTTATTTTTTGGGGGTGGGGTTTGTCATTCACATTGTATATGCTTCTCCATAAAAATCATCATCACACCAACATCCAACAGCAGGAAAAGTGATATGGTAGCATGGCTAGAAAAACAAGATATTCCGTTTCAATCAAAAGCAACTATACCTATTTTGAATGACATATAAAGGCGCTAAAAAAAACAACACCAATCTATCAAGCAGATCAGCTTTCTATGGCATTTGGACTCTGAGTAGATCAATATCTCAAAGCTCATGGCTATGAACGTTTACGTTTACCGCTTTACCATTGTGATCTCACAATAGAACTTATCTGGGGTATCATAAATCTGATGAGGGTGGCAACAATACCATGTTTCGGACGTTCAAAACGAAGTACACAAAGCCATAAGTAAAACAACACCAGCAATCTGGAAAAACTGTGTACAGGAATTTGAAAATGAAATAGAGAATCGGTACTGTATAAAAAGAGGTTTAGATTCTGCCACCATTCAACCAGTCATCATAAGTGTACAATCTGAGAGTAGTGAAAGTGAATCAGGAATTTCCTCAGTTCCAGGCTAGAAGAGTTTCGATACAACCCCTTAATAATGACATCCGAACCTGCACCTGCTTCCCGTTCTTAAGGCTGTTCCTCCAACAGTTTGCCCTTACTTTACCCTCGTAAAACTTCACACGAAAATCAAAACAAAATAACGATAGTTTGTTGAGCAACTTTTTTAGTTTGGAGACAAACCTTATGAAACCTTTTTTTCCAGGGTTGGTCTGATCTTTTCATTACATTCTGTGTTGAAATGAATATTTAAACTGGAAACCGATTTGGAGTTTGATTGTGATTCATCGGTATCATTTTGACCAGACTATAGTTATATATCAATATATTGTTTTGAAAGTCGCATCGATGTATGATCATATTTCCTAAAATTGTCGGAAAGCGGAAGTAAAATCTCCAAAACAAGCCCGCAAGATCGTCAAAAACTCTCAGTTGCACTCACGAGAACCGTTTTGTAAACAAACGCACATGGGATCCGCCTTTTACTCAAAAAGTCTGTATGTCAGAAGGCCCGTAAGTCAGAATCCCGTTAGTCAGAAGGCCCGTAAGTCAGAATCCCGGTAGTCAGAAAGCCCGTTTGTCAGAAGGCCCGTTAGCCAGAAAAGACGTGCTTGTGACGTCACGGGGAAAACCCCTTCTAAATCTCCCTTGGAGACAAAAGAGCTCCTATCGTAACTGACGAAAAGTTACGAAAACTTGACTAGTCGTGTTGGGGTTACGAACTCGATAAGAACGTTTCGAGAACAGGTCGTAAACATTTTCTTAAGAATTCTTATCTTTGGGCGTAAGCAGTTAAGAATTCGTAGCTCTACGAACGTTTCGAGAATAAGCTCGCTGGTGCTGACCTGCCACAGTTTTTGTGTGCATTAGTCAATTTGAAAGGGGGTCTAGCCAAACTCATTTGTTTTCTATTTGCTTACATATTCCATTTCTTTGCCCTCTTATTTGCCTCATGAATGTTCGTTTATTTTCATTCTCTTTTTCTACATCTGTCTCCTATTCTCCCTCCCTCCCTCCATTCGTCTCTCTCACACGCTCAAAAATTATTTGTGACTAACGGGCAATCTGACATTCGGGCTTTCTGACTACCGGACCTTCTGTTAAACAGGCTTTCAGACTACCGGACCTTCTAACTAACGGGATTCTGACTAACGGGCCCTCTGACTAAAGAGGGTGCTCCCTCACTCACCACTTCCCACCCCACCCCAGCCTACGGAAAGGGGCGAGTGGTGACGAATGGTCTCTGGTATGTTCTCCGCCCAGATAACACAACGAGGTCATGAATTTTTGTTCAGAAACTATATTTATTTACTCAAGAGGCCACAAGCCTACAGTACATTACAAACATTATACTATGAGAGTTATACATTTACTGAAGTGTACTATTTGTTTCTATGTAACATCGCATGATAAATAAACATGGATTCTGTAGTGCATCATGGAATTGCTATTTTCATTTAGACTGTCATCTTAGTGATACCGACAATTGATGCTTGACGAATGGAGAAATATTATGTTTATATTTCCAATAAAATTTACATCTGAAAAATTATAAGACTGTTTGATTTCATATACAATGATCTTTTAAATAATCCTCACGAACATGCCCTTCAGATTATGAAGTGCCATTCTCTACGAACGTACACTGGCCCTTTCTGCATCCCAGAGGGAACCAAGCCACAAGTATCCACAGAAACAGATTTAATTATCCATTAAGTGCAAATAGCGGTGAAAATTACACGAATGAATCAATGAAAATACGTGATGACACCAGGTATTCACGAAAAGGGTCAATATGCCCCACCCCACCGGTATCAACCAAACACAGCCTCTTTGTTTCCTTAGATTTATATACAAACAGCCACTGATAGTGTCATGTCGGTGATCCAATGGCACAGCAGAGACAACGACCTGCATGACGATTTTCAAAAGATATGCCCTCCCAGTATCAACTCAGCGGTGGCTGAGCGGGTTAGGTGGCTGACTTTGTGTGCTGGCGATAAGGTACTTGACTTTGAGGGTGTGGTTCGAATCACGGATGGGACTCAACCCCAAAAGTAACAGAATCTGTACTTTAAGAAAGTGTAATCCCAAATATAACATATGTTACATTTGTTTCCTTTGAGTTGAAATAAACATAGACATCGATATAGTCTTGTCAGTGATTCAATGTCACAGCAGAGACAATGATCGGGACGACCATTTCCAAAAACATTTTGCTAAATACATACAAAAGACCATTTTGCTAAATGGGCACAACATACAGGTACGTGATATTGCTGGAAAATTGCTCAAAGCGGCGTAAAACTAAACTCAGTCATCAGTCAAACATTGCATATTTCACAACCAGATGTTTTAGGTATGCCTCCTGAGATGCTTCTGCCCTCCCGATCACCTCAGTTCGATACCGCTTCAGCCCCGATATATCCACTTCATCTGTATAGAAGACTTCAACCCACACGTTGGCCTGCTGGAGAGTTTTGTAGGTGCGTTCTTTCTTCCTCAGAAACACGTTCTTACGTTTTTCAAACGAATTAGATGCTTCTGACAGAAGCGGTCAGATTTCGTAGCCTTCTTTGTAAGGACCAATGTGATGTAGTGATTATCGCTTCGACTTGACATACAGTAGAAATCGGCGAAGTACAGCCTGGCAGAGTCATCAAAGAGTCTTTTCAGGGAAACCACCACTCTGGTGTTTCCGTATGGTGATATGGTTGGTAGCCCTCCGTTCCAAAGAGTCACCCCGAAGAACACACCTTTCAGTTTATGGGACAGCGTGGATCCCCGCCGTTGTCCTTCCTTCGTGGCAACATGGTTTTATTTACAAGTTGCTTGAAATATTCAGCAGGTTTATTGCGGTAAAGGCCGTTGACTCTATCGGAAGGCCGGTTGGAACAGTGCCTTTTAGCCTTCGTATGTAGTGCTTGAAGATGATCTGTAATGAATGATATTTATAGCAATAAGTATCTGTAATTATTGTAACTATTGAAAGAAATCAACCAGTGTGTTTCATCAACCAACTTGTTTTGTTAACCTGCAGAAAGTGAAATGTTTCAGGATAGGTGTGTTAACAGATACTGACATTTCAGTTTATACCATTTGGTTCGTACAGTGTGTCGAACATAATTTAGTTAATAAGACAGTTGACTGTATCGGAATAACTTGTTTGAGTGGCATTTAAAAGTTGGTGTGATGAACAACGAGGAGAGTTTTATGGATGTACATCTTATTTAATATAATATGATTCCTGTAAGAATCAAATAACATCAATCCTGTGTGAAGAAGAAAGACTCCAAATCCGCCATCTCTGACCACACCCAAGATCACCCAGACCACAACATCCTATGGAAAAGCATCAATGTACGCACCAGTAATCACACCCACTACAAGATCAGAAAGCTACTAGAAGCCATTCACATGAAAAGACTCCAACCGGCCATGAACAGAGACCAAGGATGTTACATCCCCACTGCCTACAACCAACTCATCACCAAGCAATCTTAATCCCATTATTCTCCGGTCTGTTATATCTTTGGCTTCCTGGCTTCCTCCCAATAATCCCCCAATAGCTTACTCTGTTTGTGTAGCAATTGCCTTCCTGTATAAACACCTTGTACATCAACCTCATTAATAGGGCAAACATCAATCACTTTGTTGTTCAACTTTACTATGTATATATACCTTTGTCTCTAATATTGTACACCATTTGCTTGATAACGGTGTTAGTAGCTACACAGAAACGTCGCTCATATTATATTAAAGAAGTTGTATATTCATAGAACCCTCCTCGTTGTGTATCGGAATACGTGCTAGAACAGTGATTTTCAACCATCGCAAGTAGTGCTTCAAGATGATCTGAAATGAATCATATATTTAGCAAGACGTATCTGTATAAGGTGAAAAATAGAAGTGATTAACAGACGTGTACGAATTTAGCAAATCAAAAATGATCCTCCATCTAAATGCTAACCTTCAGGACTCTACTGCTTTTTGTTACAGTGACACGTTCAGGATAGATAGATATCTCATTCAGTGTGTCATACAGCGTATTTAAGTGCATGGACACTTTATGTTGAATCTGAAGACATGAGTATATAACATTTTAGGGTCTTAAACTCCATCAACAGGAGCAGCAACTCAGTTTGTAGTGATGTGTCCTCTTTCAACATCCACTGTTATGAAATCACAGAGGACACCGCAGAAAAAATTGTACTATTGAATAGAACCCTGGCCTTTCGGTTCCGTTTATCTCCGATTTGTTTTGTTTCTTTGGATGTTGTGTAAAGACATTCCATCTCGATTTGCAACATCTTGTAGGGTTCTTGAGGTCCTTTTCTGTCTGTTTGATTTTCCTTGCGTGTCCCATGTTGTGTGGAATTTCGACCAGACACAATCTAGTGATTGACTTCAGGTACGGCATATATCTCCATGTAGCTGAGTTGTCTGTACTTGGTAATCTGAGTTGGTCATTACCGTGTGGTAATAGAAAAAATACAGAGTTCAGGTGACCATTTGATTTTCTGTGTGAGAGTGAGTGAGTATTTTACTTATTTTAAACCGCCGCCATACAGCTGGAACATTGCTGAATGCGGCGTTAAACAACAACCAAACCAAACCTACTTATTTTGAATATTCGTTTCCCGAAAATGAAGGAAACACTATCATAACATATAACCAAAAAAGATGTTTATTGGACAGAAGAGAAAGGTTTTCTGAACATATTCCCAACACCCACAGCCCCGAATATTGAATGGTAAGAGCTTCAGCAGCTCTTCTCCTTCGTCGGTAACATAGCCGTACATACACCTGCTGCAATATATCATGTACAAGGTAAGCCATGCGAGTATTGTGGCTTTTCAGGAAGTAATATTCCCCGAATATTACCTGTCCTTTTCCCTACGGTTAGATGACTGTTCCTTTTCTTCTTTTGCAGTTCATATGCTGATTAAGACAGTTTTCATCAATGCATTTAATACATATATGGGTCATTTGATAGTACTAGGCATACTGTGTTGCACAGAATTACCTTTCTCCTGATGTCTTCCCTCTGGCCATGGTGCTGCCATTTCGGGTTCGTTGTTTGTTGTGGATCAACACAATGTACTTTCTGTCTGTATAAAACACGATGAGCCGGGTCTCAGCTGTTGTCCACAACCACAAACTTCAGCAAACAACGTAGCGGTGGCTAGACATGATACATGTAACTGGTGTGACACTACAAGTGTTTGCTCTCAGCAAACATCTCGGCTCACACAAAGGTCGAGAGTGTACGCAGTGTCACCGTCCACTAGAAGAACGTTTCTACAGCCATACTAGTGCGACAGACGTGTATCCCGTAGACAGATGTATGAAGACAGACGAAACCAGATCGGGGAGGACAAGTACGGGCAGGAGGGCTGACACACCAACAACACTGACGCCAACTGTGTCAGAATATATTGTAGTTTTGGCAGATGAACAGACAAATATTGAATCACTGTTACATGATATTTTAATGGGAGAAAAATGGTTCCTGTCTTTGAAATTTTGAAGAAGCACAGATTTTTGTCACCACTATCGAATCTCAGTTAGTAGAGCAAATGGTTGAAGCCTACCAGAACAAGGATAATACATGTGTCTTTAGCAGCTTTACATCCGGTCTCTGTGGAGTTATCTCTTCTCAGCTACAACAATATTCGCTGAGGGCCAAGGTTTAATCTTGAGCATACCCACTCGTGTGAACATTTCGACATCCATTCGTCACCACTCGCCCTTTCCGTAACCTCCAAGAAGACTCGTCCCCATTCGTCACCCCTTGCCTCTTTCCGTAACCTTCGTAACCTTCAAGTAGACTCGTCTCCCCTATCGATGCTTGTTATGTGCGAAAATACGACAAAACCAATCAGACTGCGGTGCTTTGGTAAAAATAATCCCTAGTACTTAAATCGTTTATGGCATTATGGCATTGTTTAAAAAAGATGAAAAATATATATCGTCATATTGAAAGTACAAAGAACTTAGCTAACAGGATTTTGCTGCCTATTATGAAGAAGTTTATGATAAGAATGCATGCGTGAGATTCATATACCCGCACGTGCGTTTGTTGACATAACGGCTCTCATGGGTTCCACTGAGGGTATTTCTGACGATCTTGCGGGCTTGCTATGGAGATTGTACGTACGCTTCCAACAGTTTTAGGAAATGTAAATATAAATCGTTACGAGTTTCAAAACAGTAATATTATACATATTTCTGCATGTAACTAATCAACTTTAACCTTTAACGTTGGGCATATATTTCACATGTCTGGGAATATTTTAGTCTGACCCTTTTTGTTTTGGTAATTCATATATTGTTCAGCGAATTCATTTTAAAATTCCACTTTGGGTATGACAGCAAGGTTACACGAATGTTGAGTTTGAGAAAAAAATTAAAGTCATTTTGAGTTTCTGCTTTGGGGTTTAATGTAGCTTTTATAAAATTTATTAACATATTTAATAAAATAAATCCCATTGCGATTATCAAACCCTATTTAAAAATATAATTGGAAATATAAGGTGAACATCTGGTAATAATTACGTCAGAATAAGTCTGTAACAAATAATATATAAGTTTTCTCCTTCTTTTAGTTGTATCGAAAAGGTTTAATTCTTTAAAACATAAACAACAATACAATGTATGATTACTTCGGTGATATTAAAGTACCATTGGAATCAAACAAGGAATAAAGTTATCGTTCCTGTTTAAAGTAGTTCTGATGTTCATGCGCCAATATGAAATCCTTGTAGAGGGGCACGAGTCGCTATTCGGCTTGTCCCGGAATAACACGAGTTGGTCACGAATGGCTTGTTATGTGTGAAAATACGACAAACCAATCAGAACGCGCGTAATTACTGTTGTGCTTTGATAAAAATAATCCCAAATACTTAAATCGTTTATGGCATCATGTCATTATTTAAAAAATCATGAAAAATATATATCGTCATACTGAAAGTACAAAGAACGTAGCCAACAGGATTTTGCTAACTATTAAGAAGCTTTTATTAAGCAACATGCGATTGACGGTGAGAGATTCAAAAACACGCACGTGCGTTTGTTGACATAACGCCTCTCATGGGTCCAACTGAGTGTATTTCTGACGATCTTGCGGGCTTTTCATGGAGATTGTACCTGCGTTTCCAGCATTTTAGGAACTGCACGGAAAGGGGCGAGTGGTGACGAATGACAGCAGGCAAGCTTTCCCTAAGGGAAGTAACTCTAGCGACCTTAGTTGTAGCTAAGCCGCTTTAGTGGTAAAGCACCTAGCCCTACAGTCTCATTCCAGGATAAGGCTAACAGGGCGAGCAAATACAAACCTTTCGAATTTGAGCTGAATTTTAGAGGGAATTGAACTGCCTATCGCTCTGTCTCAATTAACAATATTTGAACAAATAATCAACTTTGGGGTTATGTGTGTTTGGGTATGAAAGGCTGATGGAAAATTTAAATTACATTTAAGCAAATGTAACCTTTCTAAGGACGTTGATCATTTGTTAATATTTAGTAAGATTGCTGATATGTGATTTAGAAGGGGTATAATGTAAAAGGCTTGGAAGGAAAAATAAAAGGAATGATTTTTATCGAAGGTAATGAGGAAATCAGTTTACACAGCTACGATATATTGTAAGGAAAATTAGAAGGGATTGTTTACAGAAATATAATATAATAGATCATAAATTATAATTCATGTATTTAAGAAATGATAAGAAATACAGTATAAAAGAATATATACTGACTGACTGACTGAGTTTAGTTTACGCCTTTGAGCATTATTCCAGCATCATCACGGCGGGGGACACCAGAAATGGGCTTAACAACATTGTGCCCATGTGGGGACTGGAACGGGTCTTCAGCGTGACGAGGCCAACGCTTTAACCACTAGGCTACCCACCGCCCCGGAATAACACGAATGGTCACCAATGGCCTGCAGTGATGTTTTACCGGCTTTTATTATTCATCCAGTGTTTCAGATGCGCATTTCCAGAATGTTTTCATGTATCGTTTATTTTATTGGTCGTTGACACTTTGGTTAATTACACAGGCATGATGAACCGGTATTATTGTCGCCTCTTGTGTAGATATACAGTATTATATATAGTGGAGTGTTTGCAGTACAATTGAAACATGATAGAAATAGATGTATCTGGTCAGATAATATATATTTATCTGTTATATTCATGTTAAATGCTCCTGTGTATCAACCCCTGAATACCATTATATTTGCGTTAAAAATTAAATATAGTTTTATATATTAGCAGAGCACACAGAAAGATTTCAACTATATTATAGCTAGCGTTTATGACTGACTGACTGGTTTTGATTTTACACGCCACTTTTAATATTCCAGCAACATCACGGCGGGGACACCAGAAATGGAGCTAGCGTTTATGAACCCTTATGAAATAGTTAATATTTAGATGTAAGTATGTGACAAAAACATTAAAATTCGCGGTCACGCGGTGGCTGTGTATTCTTTTTTAAATGTCCACTTTACAACTTCCTGGAGCTTTACTGAAGCCATGAATGCTAAAATTGTTAAATCTGGACACCCAAGTTTGAGTTTGAAGTGGGAAGTGATGACGTGACATGTAGTTCATTACTGGTAATGTGTGTGAACCAGGCTAAACCATAACGTTGTTTCCATAAGACTGTAGGCAGAATGAACTGTAGGCACATTGGGAACATCCCGGTGTGATCTGGTTGACTGCCATCATGATCTGGTGGCATGAATCGGTAGAACTTGGTGGTTATCTCTGTCTCACAGTCCCTGAACTGCATTATTTTCCTTCTAGCCAAGCCCTTTCTGCAGTACTAAACCTCTAAATGAAGCTCTTCCCTCTGGTGCTCCTTTTCAATTGAATGCCAAATGTAACTTTCTATCAAAATATGTATATTCAGAGACTAAGCATTAGTTTATTTGGTGAAGTACAACTCCAGTGAACGCTGTTGTCACTGATATGAGCCCAGTGACCTACTGACTGACATCGCTCGCGTGTCATGCTGTCTTTAAGTTGGCTTGTCCTTCTCAAGCTGCGCTGTCTACTCGCCCTACACTGGCGTCTCATTATACATTCTACGAACTGCAGACGTTCAGGAAATACAATCTAGATTACTGATAAAGAACTCACAATAACAGCCCTGCGAGAGATTATGCAACGACTGAGCAACTTGTAGGCCTAGTGTTGATATCAATTCAGTATGTAGTTAAAACGCATTTTCAAGCGAACATTGTGACACTGTAATGTGAGCATGAAAGATGGGATTGTATATTAGATAACGGTACCCACGGGGTGTATGATAGATAACAGGTCCCACGGGATTGTATATTATAACAGGTACCCACGGGGTGTATATTAGATAACGGGTAGCCCACAGGGTGTATATTAGATAACGGACCCACAGGGTGTATATCAGATAATGGGTACCCCAAATTGCGTGACTTCGGGTCTAGAATTGACAAACTGGCGAGGCTTACGGCTGTGTAATGAGATAACCAATAACAATCATCCGGGGGTTGGAGGTGTACAACTATGTTATCGGTGTCCTCTCAGTTATTGAATCCTGTCAAAACAGGTCTCCTCCCACATAATGAAGTGGGATTTGGCTGACTGGGGTTAGTGTTTTGATGGTTATGGCCCGGAAAGCGAAATCTGGACCAAACCTCCTCAATTTATGTTGTCGCTTTCGCGGGAAAGGTCAAGCTACAGTGAACACTGAATTTAGCGTTCCCGGGACTCTCAATACACAAGAAAAACAAAGAAATGTGAGTCGTCGTCTGATACCGTAGTCATGGTAGAAATTTAATAAATAAATAAATAAATGCACGTTTAACGTTAGAAGCCACCGTGAAGCAGACATAATATTATTTTCTAGCATTTGTCATAAAATATTGTGTATTATAGCTGACATTTTATTGTGATGTACATTAGTAGCAAGTTTAAACCAAACTGAAATTATTCACTTTTTAATATATAGAGATAGGAATTCGTCCAGTCTCTCCGTAGAGCATTTAGGATGGTGTACTCTTGCATGGTTTCGGGACAGATTTCATGAATAACCTGTGAACATTTTCTAAAATGTCTATATTTGAATTTCCCCACACCTCGCAACCATATAACATGATTGGTAGGATCATGCAGTCAAAACATTTAAACAAACAACCGATAGGAATGTGGAGATTTCTTGCCTTTGAGGAGACTACTACTACTTTTATGCTTGGTCGTGGAGTGCCAGAAAGGTTGAGTTGAATTGAGTTGAGTTGGGCTTTACGTCACATCGACATTATTCCAGCCATCTAATGACGAAATCAAGTCTGCATTCATAAACATTTTAAGTTTAAAGTCCAAATGAGTTTTATTTTAAAAACATATTTATTCATGACATTGTTATTTAAAAACAGAAAATGGCATAGCACTTAATTCAAAGGCACTCAATTCGTTATTCGCATTACATAGTTACAATTTATAATACAGATCAACTTCCCTCAGGTAGTTCACAGATGTGGTCGCTCACGCGGGAAAACAGATATCGGTGGTACATGAGCATAACAAAGGAGTACATCCAAAATGTA